GAGGAGCTGGATTTATTTGATGCACAGCTTTGAGAAACAGAATCCCCTGTAAGGATGTTCATAATGTGTATATAGTATTACATTTTCATAGTTCTTCTTTGGTGAATCCTCCATTCATGTCTCTTTATTGTGTTGATGCTTATGGATTCAGAGTTCTTTGTGTATTAGGGATATTCATACATTTATATATTTTCTCCTGTTTGTCTTTTCTTTGTTTTATGGTGAATTTGGGACCATTGTAGAAGTTGGTATAGATTTTTTAGTTATCAAATCTATCAATCCTTCTCTTTATTTCTGACTTTTGTGTCATCTTTTAAAAAGCCTCTCCTGCTCCAAAGGCCACAACTTCTTGCTAGTACCAGTGAGTACTGGCTACTTGGGCTATGAGCCTAAGGATATATGTTTACATTGCGGCCCAGAGAAAGCAGGTTACATCCAAAGAAGGTTGGTGAGCGCAGAGCAGGGACAGCAGAGGGTGGAGGCAGACAGGCCCTGGTCCCACTTCCTCCAGTCTGCCCCCCTAGCTCACCTGTGTGCCTTGGTGCTAGTGCAAGCGCTTTCTGTCCCATGTCCCTGTGCCTGTTTCCTCAGCTATGAAAAAGCCATCGTGGCCACCATGACTCCTAGGCAACTTTAGAGGTTGAAACTAGAAGGAACATGAGGGACTATATATATATATTTTAATTCTCACCTGAGGATATTTTTTCCATTGCTTTTCAGAGAGTGTGGAAGGGGGGGGGGGAGAGAGACACCAATATGAGAGAGACACATCAATTGGTTGCCTCCTGACAGGGCCCTGAGATCAAGCTTGCAACCAAGGTACATACTCTTAGGCTGAAATCAAACCTGAGACCCTTCAGTCCGCAGGCCCACGCTCTAGCCACTGACCCAAACAGTCTAGGGCCATGAGGGACCATTTTTAACTCAAAGCCCTTGCGATACAACTGAGGAGACTTAGGCCCCTGGAGTCTAATAAGTTGCCCAAATTAGTGATCACAGGCAGCCAGACCCCATGCCTGCCAGCTCAGCACACCATCCTCTGGCCCTTGGCTTTCAGATGTAGGACCCTTCTGGAGGTGGAACTGAGCTTCCTTGTCTCCCAGATTGCTGGAGCAGGGGACAGGGTCTGGAGGGATAGAGGAATCTGTCTCCCCACCAGGACCAATTTAAGCCCCAGCCCTGGAAGCTAAAGCAATGGACACCTCGCTGCTAGTCCAATCTTCCTACTCCCACCCTTGTCTCCTCCCCACAGCACATACATCCCAAAATAGGTATTCCAGGTCCCTCAGGACATTTGCTGGTTAATCTTGGCTTATTGAGGGTGAGGCTAACTGTCTTGAGGTAAGGTATTGGAATTAGCAACTTCTGAGCTTGCTGTGTACCAGGCTTTGGTGGAGGAGCTGAGAGAGCTGCTTTGTATGCTGACCGAACCCCTATCTGTAAATGCTGCCCACTGAGTCTGCACCCCAGCAGTGCTGGGTGGACTAATCAATGGAAAGCCAGCCAATGGTAAGTACCCAGCTCTGCTGTCAGGCTATAGGAACTATATTCAAGAAAGTGAATTCCCCAGAGTTCATTCATCTCACCCCACAGGTGGGTCTGTGGGACCTGAGGCTGAGGGGGATGTCACCATCACCCACAGCTTACTTTGCTCCCCCATATGTAACTCAGCACCTGCATTTTCTTTTCCCTGATAATTTCTCTAATGTAGGCCCGGGAGAGTGAGGATGGGGAGAAGACATTGGTCTTGATGCAGGAGAAGGCAGAAAGGTTGACCCACTGACCCCCCTTGTGGCCTCTCAACTGGCCCCAGGCCTCCTTGGCCCTGGGCTCAGACTGTCCAGTGGGCATGTGCCTGCAGGCCTCACAAGGAGGCACCAGCTTGGTAGCTATCATGCCCAAAAGTGAAGCACAAGCAGTTCTTTCCCAAACCCCTGCAAGCTCTACTTCCCAAAAGGCTGTCCCACATGGGAGGACAGAGGAAGCAGAGGATGGAGAGGACAGAGAGGGGCACAACTCATGATCTGGTCTGCAAGATGCCTGGTTGGGCTGCCAGGGAGTCAGTAAGAGTCTTAGGCAACTGCCATTCAGCTGGGCCCTCATGTCTGGGGCCACAGGGAGCTTGCAACAGGCCCTGTGCCCTCACAGCAATGAGGGTGCTGGGGCCACCATCGTAGGCTGCTCCTGGGAACCTGGGGATGGGAGGGATATTAGTTGCCTCTCCTGACCTCACTGCAGGAAGCTTAGGCTAATTACTAGGAAGACTGTATTACAAAGCATTCCAGATTTACCCATTGGCCAGATGGGAAAATGAAGGCTCAGAGAGGTCATGCAGAGTTGGGGGCAGAGCTGGGCTAAAGCTTAGGTCTCTGGATCCCCAGGCTGCTAGTCTTGTTCCGACACCACCAAACCAGAAGAGCAAACCTACTGGGGAGTAGGGGAGGTGGCTATGGGGCAGCAGCGAGGGTGGAACCTTGGAAAGGCAGCATCTCAGACTATGAGGGGGAGGAGGTGGCTTTGTGACTATTTCTTCTCCTACCCGCTCCACCTGGCAGGGGTTCCTTCTGCTGACCTCCCTCCCCCTTCTCCCACCCTGGCCTGTAAGAGGAATAGTTGAGAGGAGGAGGGGTACTCAACACCCCTGCAGATGGTCATAGGGCCTGCTGGGTTCTGAGGTGGGGGGTGCCCTCCATCAGTCAGAAGAAGGGGAGTGATCTCTTTGTAGGGCTGGCACTTCTGGGACTGGGGGTGAGATTCTCACCTCCTAATTAGTCATCTTGTTAGGCAAGGACACCAGCCTATACCAGGAAGGCCTTTTGGATAATGAATCAGACCTGCAGGAAATGAGGGAGCAAGCCACAGGAAGGGACATGTAGGGAGGAGCAGGCCACGCAGAGGGACAGCCAGGGAAAACGGCTGTGAGACAGCAGTCAGCTTGGCGTGTTGAAGAAACCACTAGGAGGCTAGTGCGGCTTAAGTGAGTGGGCAAGGGGTCTAGGGATGCGGTGAGGTGGGTTTCCTGGGCCAGAGCACCCAGGTCCTTACTGTATTCAGGCTCTGAGTGAAACAAGGAGCTACTGCAGGATTTGAACAGGGGAGTTATATGGTCTGCTTGAAATTTGTAAAGGTTTATTCTGGCTGCTCTGTGAGGTGGGACAGGGCAGAAAAGAGCCAGAAGGAAACAAGAAAGCAGTTAAAAATCAAATGCAGAAATCCATTGTTTTGGACCCGAATGCTTTAAGTGGAGACAGTGAGGAGTCAGATTCTAGACATGGTTTGAAGTAGGGCTGGCAGGGCATGCTGATAGATTGGAATAACAAGGGGCTCATATTTGTGGTTACCCCATACCACTATTGTGAGAACTGAATGAAATAACAGCTCTTCCTCTTCCCTCTGCCCAGAGGCTCCCAGGAGCCACTGTGCCTAGGACCCCCAGGCTCAAGATGGAAACAGGCTGTGTGTGGGGAACCTGGGACATCACTTAGGAAGCGGGTGGGTTCCAGGCCCTTATTGTCCAGTTGGGGAAAATGACTCTCAGCATGGCTGGTTTGGGGTTTAAACTTAGTTTTCCTGACATTTATCGGGATTGAGCCAGAGTACCCACCCTGCCGGGGCTGTCACCAGCACAAAGCCCACCTAGGACCAGGTCCTCTGTCTCCCCTCTATGTAATAGATCATTGTTCTCAATGGTCTCCACAGACCCTTTCCATCCTGAGGACTCCCTCACCCTACCGGGGCCTGCTCTGAAATGCAGGCTTTAATAAGCTGAGCTTTCCAGATGAGAGGGTCAGCTCCCAGTGGCCTCCTAAGGCCTCATCTCCAACCTGAAAAGGTCTACTGCTCCTCTCCCAGAGCGAGGAGGGCCCCTCCATAGCCCCTACATCAGCTGGTGTCAATCAGCAGGACCGAGGAAGGGAGAAGGTGGCCTCCTGCCAGGTTAATCTGGGTCAATTGTGTCAATGTCAATTGCAGGCACTGGGAGAGAGTCAGTGGTTCAGTGCAGAAGGAGGACCAAGGTACCCCAAGTCATAGCAGTCTCTTGTCCACACCCTCCCCACCCTAGTGTTTTACTTGATTCTTAATTGCTTTCTTGATTACTCACCAAAAAACACCCAGCTCTGCCCCCGACTCTCTGAAGCCTCCAGAGACATCTTGAGCCTGCCCTGGACCTCAGGATGCTCCTGCCCCTTCCCACTCTGTTGCCTCAGCTCCAGTGTTCTGCTTTCCAGCTTGTCTTCCCTGCTTTACCCATGCAGGGTTCTCCCAACCCTTTAAGGCCTATTCTTCCCAGCTGCCTTCCCTGACTGCCCCAAGCTGCAGCTTCTGTCTCCTCTTAGTAGCTCTCATCACCATGGTCCTTTGGGCCATGAATCCACAAACTATTGAGTTCTTGAGCCCCTGCATATGAGTTTGTTTGGGGCAATCAGCCCAGGAGGCCATGTGTGGGCAGGTACCACTCTCCTTCCTGGTCCACAGGGTTCTCTGGGTTGAAGATGGATGAGGCATCTTGGACAGACAAATCATTCATCTCCTTTAATGCACTGGGTGGCTCCATGGATAAGCTTTGTAAACTGTAAAGTACTGTGCACAGGGGGACCCTGAGGTGAACTGGGGTGCAATTATAGGAGAGACAGAAGACGGCTAATCACTAGGACCTCAAAAGCAGGAGGGATTTGGGAATCACAGGCAAGGGTACCTACAAAAATAAGGGTTTAGAGATGGGACTGGATTTGAAAGGTGAGGTGGCCTATCTGATTCTCCAGGACTGGGGAGAGGCAGGAGAGAAACTGGGAGAGATGTGGGTTGTGGGGCAGAGGTAGGGAGAAAATGAAGTCAAAGACGACTGCCCCTTTGGGGCCTGTAGTTCCAGACTGGGTAAGGGAGTGACAGAGGGAAACAGCTACTTGGAGAGGAGCTATGAGAGGACTAGAGTTACAGGGAGGCAGTAAGGGGAGGTAACCACACCAGAAGAGGCCACTCAGCTCTGGCTCTCTCCACAGGTCGCCAAGAGCCCAGAGGACCCCCAAAACACCACCCAGACTATGGAAGCTGTCATCAGCCACCTGTCTCCTTCTAATAAGGAGATTATCACAGTCACTCTACATGGAGCCACCAACCTCCCTGACTGCAAAGATGGCTCTGAGCCGTGGCCCTATGTGGTAGTGTAAGTAGCTGCTGAGAGTGGTAGGGGCCTGGTGTCCACTGGAGCAGAAACCAGTGTAAGGATATTTGGAATATGAGCACCCAAAGGTTGGGGCTGGGACTGTGATACCCAGAGGGAACACCAAGTGTGCATCACACAGGAGAGCTCTGCAAATGTAAGAAGCCTGGCATCTTCCTGCTGCATGGAAGCTGCTCACCGGGGCTATGGAGGGAGGGAAGGGCCACTCCTTGATCCCACAGTTTGCTGGGCAGGGCTTGGCCATAACCTGACTTCAAGGGGCAGGGCCCCTGGATTTAGAGGCCTGGGCTAGGCTCAGAAGGAGAAGACCAGGGGCTTGCCTCTCCCAGACTCTGGGTGCCCCGTACTACTATGCCCAATCCTGGGGTAAGGTACTCATCACCATCCTCCTCCTTGGCCCCCACTACTTTCTGGTCATTTCTATCAGGGGACTTCCCTCTTGTCCTTTAATACCCCACCTCATAGCCCCTCCAGCTAGCTGCAAGCAGGGTACACACTTCTCACAGCCTGGTATCCCTTGAGGCCTGCCATGCTGTATCTGCTGCCCACCTCGTGGACCTCACTTCTCTCAGAAGGCCGTCAAAGTCTTTTCCCCACATTTCCTTTTGGAGAGTGCCTGCCCCAGCCCTCTCCCCAACCTGCTGAAATCCTACCTTCAAAGCCTTGCTTGCTCAGGATGCCTCCTCCTCCAGACAGCCACCAGAGTTGAGCTCTCCCTTCTCTGGAGCCCCACAGCACTGTCAACACTAGTCAGATGCACTTTATATAAATAAAGTTATGTGCTGCTCCTCTGTTCCCCAAACTAGAGCTCCCCAGGACAGGCCCCAGGTCGCTTCTCTATTTCCCCAACAATGCACCCAGCGTAGGCCTGAGCACAAACTTAGGGGCCAAGGAGCAACTGAGGCGAACACCAGGTTTCTATAACAACAACTACCACACCCCCACAGAGTGAAAAGAGGATGGACAGTGGGCTGGAGACCAACAGGTGAAACACTTGCTTGTCTCAAAAGCCCCACCTCTAACCGCCCAGCTCCGGGCCTTGCTCCCCTCTCCTCCCCAGCTCCGTTTCTGCGGTGGGGAAGGGCAGGTGGCAGAGGGCGGGCTTGGCAGGGAGCTCGCCTTCTCCGCTCAGCTATTTCCATAAACCAATTATCGCCCAGCATCTCGGGAGATGCAGGCCCTGCCTGTCACCAATCCAGCCCCGCGGCGGGCGGGAGCCGGGCGGCCGAGCCTCTCCTCCGCCGGCGTCACGACCCGCGAGGCCGCCCGGTTGCCATGGGAACGCTCCAT